TACAGGAAACTCTTGAAGAAACACGTGATAAGTTACAGAAACATGCGAGTTTTCACTAGGGCTATAGCAACATGATGCTGTAAAAAGTAACACAATGTTAGCCATTAAAATTGCTACACCAGGAAGGAAAGCAAGTGACATAGTCGTATTTATCGTACATAAAGAGATTAATGACAGGAATACATGGTAAAATGCGCTGGTGGTTTAAGGGTCACTGTGACTAGAATTCAATATATAGACCTGTCTCATCTGGCAGCAATAATGGATGTAATCAGGCAGGATATCGCTTAGAACTGAGCTTGGATGAGAGATGAGCTTATTTAATTCCATGCGTTTTCAATTGTATGTCAGAGTTCATCAGTCCTAGTGGCTGGCGAGTGGTGGTGTGCCAGTCTCTAGGCAACCCATGACCGGATCTTCTCAATGGATCATAGATATGAAGAACGTATTGGGCAGGGAAAAGTCGTTCTGTGTCTCGTTTGTCTCACCACTGCAGGAGCACTTGCCTTTGCTGCAGCGACAAGGAAAGCCGCAACAATGGTCGCCGTACTGACACTCCGTAGTGCGGCAGACGTCGATGCACTATAGATGTGGACACTGCCACAGTGCAGACGAGCCAAGGTCCTAACTCAGGATACGTGATGTAGCTGTACAACCCAGCAAGACCGAGAGGACACATGTCTGTCCTCTCAAGCGTTAGTGGGCTGGGACCACTAATATTCTACATGACGTTCAATACTGCCCTCTTGGACCCACCGATTCTATATTCGCCTGACAGTCATAGGAACTATAAACAGTTCCGATAAACTACGATGCTACCGCGGTAGAGTTCCGACACTTGATAGGACTTTTCTCCTTATTACACGATGCATAGTACGACCTTTACACAAACAACCAACATATGAGCAACCTGCTATGCGATCTTACCATTTATACACAATGCAGATAGTATTACTCATACTTGATTTGTGCGCATGCTCGAAAATTAATTATTTGTATATGCAATATCTTTAATTCAAATTTGACGTTTGTTGTCTGACGCCTTCATTGTGTATCAATTTTAATGACCAGTAATGTAGAAAATTGTACAAATATTATTCAATCAAGTAAAGATAAAATAAATCACAGAAGATTTCTGTAAAAAATTTCTGGAATCAATTAATTTGTAATTTTCGAACATATCTTTGTGGTTACTTATAAACTTGTTTAATTTTATAGCACAAAAGCAGAATAATTTTTTAAGAACATTATACACTCTGTCACAAAACAATATATGCATTCAGATGGAAACGAACTAGTATCACGAAACTTAACATGTATGTAGTGCATGACAAGATAAACAAATGGTTGCAAATTCAGAACAAAAGATCGTTTTCTTAAGAAGTTATAGCATGAAAAATGTTACAAATCAGGAAGTAGCATAGACACCTCTGGCAGCTATACAATTCGAAACACGGCATGGCATCGAATCAAGTAGGTCATGACCCCGTGCGAAAGATCATGACATAATCTTTGCAACTTGGCAGTTAATTCACCAGTTGTCCGGGACGGTTTCAGTTACCTTCCAAGCATGCCCAAACATGCTCTTTTGGAGAGAGGTCTGGTGACCTGGCAGGCCACGAGAGTGTAATATCCATGAAGACGTTATTGCGAGAGTTGTGCTGTATGTGCACAAGTGTTGTCTTGCTGATAAATTTCACCTAGACGGCTTGATACCGTAGGAAGACAACCGGCTTTAAAATGTCGTCCACGTACCTGTGAGCCGTCATAGTGCCTTGAAAGATGAGGTCATTTTGTGCCCCAATAAATAGCTCTCCACACTGTCATACCTTGTGTAATGTCCGTACACCACTGGACAACAAATGCCGGATCGGATCGCTGGCCTGGCCGCCTTTACACGCGTGTGCGTTCGTCATCAGCAATGATAATGAATCGGGATTCATCGCTGAAGATCACATACCTTCAGTCAGTCACACTCCAGCTTGCCCGACTTCGGTAAAAATCCAATCGGCACTGCTTATGATGTGGGGGCAGTGATAGGCATCTTAATGGACGTCGGCAAGCTTCGGTTAATCGTCTTTGGTCAGTCGTCTTCGGTCAGTCGTCTTTGATACCACGGGATGCCTGGATGTGGTATGTGGCGTCGAATCGATGCTAGCGACGTTTTTGGTGCGGAAGTGACCGCTTTTATGATTGCATGATTCTCGCGCTCATTTGTGTTTCTCGGACGTCCTGACCCTCCGCGACGGTAGACTATCTCTTGTCGCCAACATTTCGCTCCGACCTGGCGGCAGATAAGCCTGTTCGACCAACCTGCTTCTCTGAGGCCTACTATACGCCCCTTCTCAAAGTCCGACAGCTGTTCGTTCTGCGGTCGGTTATGCCTCAGAGGCATCTCTAGTCACGATACTTTTCAGTGCTGACATTTCTTTTTTCCTGCTGTTAACTGCCATTGAAGAAATGTATTTACAAGAAACTCTTGCCGAACGCGGGAGTTATGTCATTAATACATTGCGTGTACGGCAAAATCGTGTTCAGCAAAGTAAACTTTCTATGTGAAAAATGTATTAGTATAGTTTTGATTTAAAAATATGTAAAATTTAAGAAAATCTAAATATTGTTATAATTAAAAGAAAAAATGAACCAAATATGTTCTTGTTGTGACTTATTTCACTTGCCTGACAGTATTGTCAGATCAAGCCCACGAAATTCGTCGTGCTAAGGAGAGCAAGATTGCGCCTATCGTTGGTAAGAGCCTTGAGCACCATAGAGGTGACAGTTCGACTTTGCTCAGTTAAGCCCCCAATTTTGAAGGACAGCACCCCGGAGAGACAGGTCCGAGGACCTGGAAGACCCCTCTTCCCTTACCACAACCTCTCTAGAGGACTTTCGGCTCGCCGCATATTTAGAGTGCCCCCATGCCGCACAGACACTATACATTTGCATACATCCATGCCTTCTTCGAGATTCGAAACCGGGCTCTTCGGTACGCTAGTCAGCGTCGCTGACTATTATCCCGGTTATGTGGGATATTATTTAGTGACGTGAAACAAATATTATTAATTGGAAGGATTTATATTGCTGCTTAAAAAGTATGTGATCTAAGTATTATGTTTTCCCTAAACTGGCGATTTTTGCTTGGGATAACAAATAACGCAGCTCTTTGAAAGTATAGGGGAGAAGCATACAGTTTTCCAATGCCTCTCGTCAAGTGTCTTTTTTTCTTTGTTTGCATGAATCTCCGTTGCAAAATAATGCAATCCGTGCTCCGTTTTTAGCAAACTGTTTAACTTATTGAAAGTTAAAGGCATTTTATCTTCTTAATTAGCACTGCTTTCACTCTGGGCTGATGTTATAAGATTATTCAATTCTTTATTCGTCATTTCTTGATTAATTCTTTGATGTGTACCATATCCATATCTGAACTCCTTTGCCGACCACGGCTTTTGTAATTTGTGCGATTTCTTTGGCTCCATTTTTATGGAAATACTTTAAAATTGTTTTACTTGGTGCCAGAATTGATGCCAGCAAGCTTTTACTGTTCATGAATGAACATTGAGCAACCTAAGAATGAAATTCTAGCGTTGAACGTATCAAATAGCGACAATTAAGATAAAGAGCATAAACGAACTTGCGTTCTCAAAATTCGTGCTCGGCGAGGGTTTACTCTACTTAATGAGCGGCTCCATTTTAAAGGGCAAAGCGAAGATTCACTTTCAACTACGGCGAAAACTATATTTATTGAATGACAGCTTGTCCTATTTTCTAAATTACGAAAACAGTTTTATGATTTGATTTCATTATTTCTTTGCTTCCTGTAGTCCACTTTTTAAATAATGCTAGAATCACATAGCTATGTAATTAATTACAGCAATGTTTAAATGGGCTTTCTATCTGGAGAAATAATCCTTTCGTAGACTAAAGCTCCAGATAAAATAATACTGGAAAAAGGAAGTCCGGCACACTATAAGTTTTACTATTATACAGTCTTACAGATAATCATTGATAATTTTCACAGCCGAGCAGAATGGGTGAGAAAATGCTGTTTGTAATCCCAACATGCAAAATTTGTGCGAATTGATGAACTATAGTATGCCACACCTTGGACTTTAGAATTGGATTGCTTGTTAATACTATCCAAATGTTCTGTTATTTGAACTGAACTGGATCAAATACCATGTAGGATTAGGACTTTTTTAAGAAATGAGTTTATAAAAATTATAATAAAATATAACTTCTTTGTAGAATCATCAGGTTTTTTCTAAATTTCGGAACAGGAGACGTAAAAATTATGCAGTGCATTCTCCGGGATTTGAACTCAGACCTTTCCACTGCTAGCCAGACGTGCTTTCCAGTTACACCACGAAGGCAAGCGATACGAAAGGAGAAAGTATCTTACATCATAAATTTAAATTTTTCAGTTAAAAAGGGGCTGTAAGTAAAAGACAGTTCTACCGCTTGTATTAATGCTGTTTAAAACCTTCGAAATTAAATTCGTCTAGTATGATAGCAGTAAGTGATAAAAGTTTCTACAGAATCGTTTACTTGATTTAACAAGTAGAGAAATGGAGTTTCTTTTTATTGCTTTCCTTGTTTTTTACTCAATCACAGTCTCTCTAATTCAGAAAATCGCCTCTCAACTGGTATGAATGACTTTTAGTAACATTAGAGCCCTTCAAACTATTTTCATTGCTTTTCAAAACTAGCGAGTACAAGTAAAACACAAATTGCTCTAGAGGTTACATTCTTTCGATTTCTGGGTGCTTCTTTCGAAAAGAAGCTAATTCTTGAAGATTAATGTCCTCTGTACCCAAGGTGTGAAGAAAACTTCTAATTTTAATAACTGTTTTCAGTACCCATTCAGTAACTCCGTTAGGTTGAAAAATTAGATCTTTCCAAAGCTTTATTTAATTTTGCATTAAGCTTTTATTATCTTCTATTTATGTTTATCTGTATCGCATACTTGGGCAGCTGTCACTGATTGTTGTACTTTTTTTTAGAGTATTGAAGATCAAGTAGCATCTATCCTGTACCATTTAGGAAAAGTAGGTGCTTAATTTCATTTTACTCTTCCGAGTTTTTGTAGAAAAGGATTTTACTTTGGCTTTTGATTTAAAATGCTGCAGCTGTCATAGAAAAAATGGTAAATTGATTTGTTGACATAATTTGAAGGTATCAAAAGCAAACTATATATCTCCTTGTTTTTCATAAATATCAAATTAACAAATGCAATAATTCATTCATAAAACGCTCCTGATTCAATTCTCCAGTAATTTATTGGCAATGTTCAGTAACGTATCAAAATTAAAATATCTCCTGCTTGGGTAATTTGCTGTTTATTCCATCTGTAACATGAGTGTAAACCAGTACCTTTACTAAGTGCTCTACGAAGGCATTCAAATCTATTAGGCAGATTGTTCTTACCAGCCTTGCCTTAAAAATTAACTTAACTTGCACAGTGGAGACTGCATTTTTATCTGAGGCAAAAGATAATTTACATGCCGCAAGACGAGAAGAAAATGCACTTTTTTATGCAACATAAATTTTGTGGTAAATATTTTTTGCTCAGTATTGCAAGTATTATAGATTTTTAATATTAGATTTCTATGTTCAAGAAAATAATGCAAATTCTGATTTATGCTTTAAAAACGAAAAAAAAAATATATAATTCAACAAAATAACAAAGGTATTGAATAGGTGGATGCGAAATATGCTGCACGAACTTTCTGGCCTTTAAAAAAAAAGTGACATATCATCAGTAATATTTGCGAAATTCAAATATGCGAAATTCAAATAATTTGAATTTCGCAAATATTACTGATTTGAATTTGAAATTATTGTGTTCTGTAGCTAGAATAACTACGGGTGCCAATTTTTCTTGACAAAAGGAAAATGTCTGGTAACTTTTAATTGCCATATAAGCCTAGAATCTTAGCAAATATTTCATTACTGTGGTTTCGGTGTTTAACCTAACTGTGGTTTTAATAACTATAAATATTATTTTTATGTACTTTATCCGAATATACATTAATTGTATTTCAGTTGCAGTTCTCTGTTACAGGCAGTTCATGCCATTCGTTTTCCACCCTAGCATTGACATTGTTGTCTTCCGCCTCGTATAGAATATCATCTTCAGCTCCGTCCATAGCGTTGCTCAGCAAAAGTGATAACTTAAAACTACCAGAATAATTTTAAAGTGACATTTTCAGGGAAGGTTCATTTAATTCCTTTGTAAACAACAGAGCATACATTAATTCTTTGTTCAGCCGAGTACCCTATCAGAAACGGAACTCCTGGTAATTTTATAACGGTCATGTTTTCCTTAAACCAGCACCATGCCTTCGTACTGAAATAATGTTTATTTACATTCAGCCATGAATTACTCCGGGGAACTTGACACAACAGACCAATGAAATGCAAGCAATGAAGTTGGAACCAACAGCGAGGCTGAACAGCTGACATATCAAAGGATTAAATTGCTTTATCATAGGTGCGAAAGTCCTTTTTTGTTTGGATAACTTTCTGTATGAAACAAAAATAAATAATTGTGATTTACTCATAAAATCGAAAGCGCAACTGCGAAGAAATAATCGTATGTGCTTGAGAATGACTATCACAACTGTGAACCTATGAAAAAAAATTAGGCATGCTGTTTATACATGCTCGAAAGATGAGAGAAAGTACTGGTACACAAGTTTTCGTTTCATTTCTGCAAAGCTCTTACACCTTTTTTCCTCCGAATGGATGTTGAAGCTGAATTGGCACTCGTATTTAGCTCAGCTGATAAGATCAACTAACGCTAGATGACCGGTTAATCAAAAATCTCGCGGTATATGTAACTGCATGTATAGAACATTTTAAATTCGGCTCATGTAGGAGTTTTCAAATTTGGCTGATTTTTTACAGTAAAATCATTCCTCTTGTCTTATACACGGATCGGTTTATATCTGAGAGCATACGGTGATTTCCGGATCAAATTTCATGAAGCTTTTCCCAATTTGGACGTCAAATAACTGGTAACGGCAAAATTACTCTTAAGGTAGCATATTAACATAAAATTCTGTTTGATTCTGTTTAGTTGGCAATTGATTTTGAAAGGTCGAAACTTGCAGATACGCTTAATTTTAAGCTAGGTTATACTGATGCGAATTTTAGTACATTTATGTAATAAAATTATATCAGAAAATTAATGCCGCTTCTTTTCTAAAGTATAATAAAAAGTATATAACGAGAAAAAAATATATTAACTGATTCTTCGATTTCGGTATTAGGAAGTACTGTATAGAGTTTCCTACCCAATACTACACAGTCTCTTTACTCTGCGATTGAATATATGGAATATTATTTTTTAGGTACTTATCCATAACCGTTTTGATCCAAAGCCGTGACTCGTACAACTCGCGGCCCACCAGCGGCCGAGCGGTAAAGTCGCTGAACACTGGTAGTTGGGTCCGAGGTTCGAATCCGGCGAACGGGCTGGCTGCATGGGTGTTTTCGTGGTTTTTCCCATGTGTAACGTGTATACGAGCCAGTTTCCCTTAGAAAGTCCTCCACGAAAGGCATCCCTCCCCTTAGGCAGATAGCCCTAGTGTGCTTTGCCATAATTAAATACACACAAAAAAATACACACGTACAACTCGCAGCTTCACTAATTTTAGCGTTTAATATTCTGGGATTGCTTTATTAGCTTAATCGTTTCTTCGTATCCCCACAGGTAGTTTACGTGAAAAAAATTTTACTCAATTGTGATGATATCTTCATGGTATTTCAATTTTGACAAACAGGAGTATAATATACCACACTACAGCATGGAGTAATTTCGTTACTTTGAAACAGCTTCACTACAGGTACTACAGAGTTACATGACTTGTCGGAGGAATTTTAACTCAAGTTTAACGGAAGATAAAAATTTTTGCAAGCAGAAAGTTGAGCTGCGTTAAGAGTTTTGTTACCCAGCATTATACTTAATAATATAATATTATTACTTATTATGTTTCCCTTTGGGGAAAAACCGTGATCGAAACTTAATAAAATGTATACGATTTGTTAAGTAAAATGCTTAAATATGTTTAGTTCGGTTTATGTGATGACGACAAAGCCTCGACGGTTATCTGCCTAATGGGAGTAATGCCTTCTGGAGGACTTTCTAAGCAAAACTAGCTCTATATACATGTTACACATGACGAAAACACTCATGCAGCTAACCCGTTCACAGGATTCGAACCTTGGATAGTGCTACCAGTATTTAGCGACTTTACCCTTCGGCCGATGGTGGGCCAGTGGTTAAATACAGTAAATTAAAAGGCTTCATGCCACAAGTTGTTGTATAATCTAACTCATTCCGTTTATTTATCAGTGACTTGTTTATTTATGTTAAACACCAGGCGTCTCCGTCACCTATCACCTGCATTAGAGCTGCAACTTTTGCGCAGATTTAAGCAGTTCCATTTATATCTTCCATATACGTGTAATCCCAACAAAAAAACACTTTCTTTCCTAGACTATTCAATTAGAGCTCTTATTTACATGCAAATCAATAGCCTGTTTCTATTCTGCTTTAAACACTGCATTTTGTTTTAATTATATTTTATTTATTGTCAGTTGTATCATTCAATGCCTGACCTAGAATATCAGTGTAATCCTTCAATTTTCAGCTATACACATTTAAATATAAATTGAGAAACTTGCACTCAGTATCTTCTATTATATTTTAATATGGATTTATCTCCAATTTGTAGAATTAAATTGCTACCGACAACTTAATTGATGTAACACTTAATTGAACATTCAATTAACTACTTCATTAATTTATGTGTAGCGTATGAATTTTAGCATCCACTTTTCTGGAAACCCGTTTTGTGTTCCAAGATCAATGTATTCCCTGGTAAATGTTCAGAACAGTTTCATATAACCAAAAATGATCTAAGTTTATTCCAGAAAACCCTCTTCCCAAGCTTCTTTTGTATGATAAAGTGAAAAAATTTCAATTGGAAGGGAAAGCACAATTTCATAGCGTTTCAGTAGTGCATGTTACACGATGTAAATGTGTACAAGAATATTAAGCATATTCTTTTATTCTCTCTTAGAACGCACATGTATTTTTAAAATAAATAAGTGAAACAAAAATAAAATAATAAAATGTATTAAATAACACTTTTATGAACTAAAATACCTCTATCGCTATTCATTGAGTAAAATCATTATCTAAGCTTTCTCAGTTGTAGTACTCATATTAGGAGTTTTTATCTCAAGATTACAAGAACCTTGAGAGATTGTATGATAAGAGGGAAAGAACAGATATAATAAAGAACACAAATACATATTTAATCACTTGAAGCGCTACATTTAGTTAACAAACATGAACGTGATTATGTAACTTCAAGAAAAGGAACAAACAGCATTTGCTTCCTTTCAATTTATTCTTTATTTTATCTAAATTTTTATCATGAAAATGATAAGTAATAATAGCGGAAGAAGTTGATTGCAAAGTAATAACAAGTTGCTGGATTTCCTTCTGCTTTTTTCCCCCTCGCACAAGAAGAAACGTTTTACAGTGATTGTTTGCCCGAATATTCACAAGTAGTAAATTAGTAAAATTTTGCATCCACATTTAGAGAAATTTTTAGTAATTTTTCTTCCATCTCCACTTCAGTCTTTCATACTATGATACTGGAATTTGGGTTAATTTTTATCTTCAAAAATATATACGATCCTTGGTCAGATATTATTAATGACAGAATAATGTGCACATTTTGTTTTGGAAAAGAAGGGTCTGAAAAATTTTTCCCTAAATTATAGTGATTAATATAGATTCGTTATTATTTTAACGTGTGTGTTTCATGCATGATTTTTCATACTTCTCTTTATTTAAATCGTATCTCATTATTTTAAAAGATCCATTATTTATATTGTGCTAATATTTTCATTTCATACTTTTCTTTCTTTTTCCTTTTGTGTATGTGTGGGGAGGTAGAAGTGTTTAGTGACTGTATACTTGCTCGAAGGCATTTGTGAGGAATGGCTGAACCCATCAGTCATTTAGCCG